GGGTGCAGGACCACTGCGTGGCGTCCCCTGAGTCGGGGGGTGCAGGACCACTGCGTGGCGTCCCCTGAGTCGGGGGGTGCAGGACCACTGCGTGGTGTCCCCTGAGTCGGGGGGCGGACTCGGAGAGGCCAAGCAGGTGCACTGGGTGATGTGCGACAGGGAAAGGGAGGTGGGATCTGACCTGTGCTGAGGGCAGCAAGGAGCCTCGGGAGGCATCCTGGGTGCCATCCTGTCCCCTGCCCCCATCCGCAGGTACATGAAGTACCTCTACCCCTATGAGTGTGAGAAGCGCGGCCTCAGCAACCCTAATGAGCTCCAGGCGGCCATCGACAGCAACCGGCGGGAGGGCCGGCGCCAGAGCTTCGGGGGCTCCCTCTTCGCCTACTCACCAGGCGGGGCCCACAGCGTGCTCTCCTCACCCAAACTGCCTGTGCCCTCCCTGGGCCTGACTGCTAGCACCAATGGCAGCTCCATCACCCCAGCCCCTAAGATCAAGAAAGGTGAGGGCTGAGGGGGCCTGGGTCTGGACCCAGCCCAGTTATATGACCTGAGGGGCACCTCTTCCCTTCTCTGGGTAACCAGGATGATAAGCCTCAGGTTGACATGCTAAAGGGCATTCAATCCTTCAATCCCATGACCAGGGCAGACTTTACTAATCAATCACCATTTCTTAGTCCCATGCTCAGAGCAAACAGTAACAATCACCGTCCTCCTGTGGCACATGCTACTAATCAATCAATCCTGTGCTCTTGGCAGACATCACTAATCCATAGATGCTTTCATTTTCTTTTTCCAGTTCTATACCAGGAGCTTTGGTAATGTAGTGCCTAAGGCATTTGACTGCTAGCCAGAAGGCTGGCGGTTCAAACCCACCAGCCACTCCTCAGAAAGAAAGTTGGGCAATCTACTTCCGTAGTGATACCGCCTCGGAAACCCAAGGTGGGGTCGCTATGAGTCGGGTCCAACTTGATGGCACATGATAACAACAACATACCAAAGCAGACGTTACATATCAGGCACAATTTTCCCAGCCTGTGCCCATGGCAGACGTTAATCCATGTTCTGCCAGCCTGTGCTGGTGGTAGACATTACTAATTAATCACTCTTTCCGAGTCCCATACTGAGGCAGACATTATTAATTGAGTACTGTACTCTTCCTTATCCTGTGGCAGGCAATACTAATCGATTATGGTGCCCAGACATTGCTAGATGAGCACTAGACACCTTCCCTTTGAGCTTCGGACTCCTCAACACACACTCGCCCAGCAGCCACGACGAGTCTATCAGCCAATGGCCCTGAAGCTATTTCTGGGTGTCCCTGGGCAAGCCACTGCCCCTTTCTGAGCCCAGCTTTCCTTGTGGGTAAAATGAGGAAAATCGCCCCTTCTTTGTAGATTGTCAGGGAGGGTTCAGAATGTAAAGTGCCCAGTGTGCAACAAGCAAAGGTTTGTGCATGCCGGCAAGTGAGCTCCCCAGCTCCACCCTGTGCTGGCGTTACGGCCAACCAGTCTTCTCTCCCACCGAGCCTCCGAGTGCTTCCTAGCACAGAAGCACCACCAGCACGCGTGGCAGTGAGTCCAGTCATTCTCTCTCTCTTGAGTTCCTGTTTCTCACCTGCCACATTGGAATGGTGTCTTCTGCCTCCTAGGGTTGGCCTGAGGATCCAGTGTGATTTCTGTAGCCCTTGTGTCTCTTTGGAAGGAGATCTGGTGGCATAGTGGTTAAAACTTTTGGCTACTAGCCAGAAGGTCAGAGATTCAAACCCATCAGCTACATTGTGGGAGAAAGATGAGGCAGTCTGTTTCCATAGAGATTGACAGCCTTGGAAACCCTATGGGCAGTTCTACTTTGTCCTAAAGGGTCACTAGGAGTTAGAATTGACTCAATGGCAGTGGGTTTGGGTTTGGTTTGGTTTTGTGTCTATTCAAAAACTTACCCACTTTCTAACCAACTATGGCACATACACACAATGGAATACTTGTTGTTGTTGTTGTTGTGTGCCATCGAGTCAGCCCTGACTCATAGCGACCCCTCCTTGGGTTTCCGAGGCAGTATCACTACGGAAGTAGGAATGCCCAATCTTCCTTCCGAGGAGTGGCTGGTGGGTTTGAACCGCCAGCCTTCTGGTTAGCAGTCAAGTGCCTTAGCCACTATGCTACCAGAGCTCCCAATGGAATACTATGCAACACTAAAAAATAATGTAGAATCTGCAAAACACTGCATAACATGGATGAATTTGGAGGACATTTAAAGAAAAAAAAAGAAAAATGCACTGCCATCGAGTCAATTCAACTCATAGCGACCCCTCCTTGGGTTTCCGAGGCAGTGTCACTATGGAAGTAGATTGCCCAACCTTCCTTCTGAGGAGTGACTGGTGGGTTTGAACCGCTAGCCTTCTGGTTAGCAGTCACATGCCCTAAGCACTATGCCACCTGAGCTCCATGGAGGACATTATACTGAGTGAAATGTCAATCACAGAAGGACAAATATAGTACTAGTTCATTATTGTAGAAAATCAAGGGAAGGTTTCTACTATGTGGAAGGAAACTTTCTTTGTTGGTTACCAGGGATGGGAGGAGAGGGGAGGTAACACTGCAAAAAACAAAAAACAAAACTGCATTGACCTTTGTAGTTGTAGTTTAGTTTTGTGTATTTCACTGTACATAAATAATATTTCAATAAAATGTAGTTTAAAAAAAAAATCTATCCACTTCCTTAGAGAGGGAATGAGCACTCTGTTGTTGGAAGTATCCAAGAGGGTTCATGTTCCTGCCTCAGGTGGAAGGCAGGGCCAGGCCACCTCAGGTCCCTCTGGCCACCAACTGCTCTTCTCTCCTCTCTAGAGGAGGACTCCGCCATCCCCATCACGGTCCCTGGCCGCCTGCCAGTCTCCCTGGCAGGCCACCCTGTGGTAGCAGCCCAAGCAGCAGCAGTGCAGGCAGCAGCAGCCCAGGCAGCCGTGGCAGCCCAGGCAGCCGCCCTGGAGCAGCTCCGGGAGAAGCTGGAGTCTGGTGAGCCTCCCGAGAAGAAGATGGCGCTGGTGACCGACGAGCAGCAGCGGTTCATGCAGCGAGCCCTGCAGCACAACTTCCTAGCCATGACCGCCCAGCTGCCTATGAGCATACGGATCAACAGCCAAGGTACCGACCCGGCGGAGACCCTCCCTGCTCCTGCATGTGCAACAGTGAAAGACCTTGTAGCCAACATATATAAAGAGTGCCTGCCAATCAATAAGAATAAAAAAAGGCAACCCAGCCATTAAAGACATGGGCAGCTATGACTAAGAAATGTGTATGGGGAGCTGTTCAGTTCCATCTAGTCAGGGATCTGTAAATTCACAACAAGGAGATACCATTTTTACCCACCAGAGTTTGATAATATCAAGGGATGGCTCAGATGTGGGAAATTGGCACCCCCATACCTGCCGGTGAGGATGAATACAGGTGGCGATTGGGCAATCTCTTTTACAATAGAAAATGTGCTTGGCCTGTGACGTCTTTATTCTATCTGATACCTACAGCAGAGAACAACAGCAGTGGGGCACAAGTAAACACACGTCAGCAAGGATGCTCGTTGCATGGTCCTTTATAAAAGCATTTTGTGTTTTTATAAAAGTGAAACCTAGAAGCAACTTATGTCCATCAGCAGGGGAACAAGTACATTTAACTGCTTCACAGCTGTTAAAAAGAATGGGCTGATTTGGGGGTGCCGACATCTCTAAGAGAAAAGAGGAAATTGTAGACGAATGGGGGTTTATTCATGACATTGGGCACCTGCTCCTGTGCGCACCGGGCACAGAGAATGGGGGTGAGCACGACAGGCAGGCAGTCCACACCTCGGTGGAGCCACGAGTCCCATGGGCAAGACAGACATGCAGCAGCCCACGGCCCAGAGGCAGCTGGGATTATAAATGGGGTCTGCCTTCTTCCCACAGCCTCCGAGAACCGCCAGGATTCAGCTGTGAACTTGACCAGCACCAACGGCAGCAACAGTATTAGCATGTCAGTGGAGATTAACGGCATCATGTACACAGGTAGGACCACCCAGGACCCCACCCCTGTCTTGGCCATTTCTCTCCCAAAGTTTGCTCAGGAGCACTGGGTTGCTCCAGAGCCTGGCCTGCTTGGGCCCGGCCGTGAGAGTTGAGAGGGCAAGGAGGGGCTTTATGGGATAAACAGTCAAGGACGAGTTTCCCTACAAGACTTGGATAAAGTCCTCTGTGTAGCATGCTCAGAGTCCCCGATGGGTACAGACAGTAAGCCCTCACCTGCTAGGTGAAGGGTTGGCGGTCCGATCCCCCCAGAAGATGCCTCTGAAGATAGGCCTGGTCATTTACTTCCAGAACGTCCCAGCCTTGAAAACCCTGTGGAGTGCATATCTCCCCTGACACCCACGGGGTCACCCTGAGACGGAATCGTGTTGATGGCAGCTAAGAACGGCATGCTAGTCTGCATCTCACGGTGCAAGGAATTTTTCAAATTTCCTTCAAAAAAAGGTAGCATCAGGCTGGTTGTTCAGATAGGCCACTAGGTGATGCTGCCAACACAAAACAGCTTGGCTGCTGTGTGAAACCTGAGGGTGCAGAGACAGTTAGGGGAATTCTTTGCAGGGGGTCAGGATACCCCTGAAACTACACAAACTCTGTGTATGTGCATACTGCATCTTATTGGGGAAAAATCCAGCTGTGTAAACATGGGACTGTTGTTGTTGTTGTTATGTGCCTTCGAGTCGGCCCCGACTCATAGCGACCCCTCCTTGGGTTTCTGAGGCAGTATCACTACGGAAGTAGGATTGCCCAACCTTCCTTCCGAGGAGTGGCTGGTGGGTTTGAACCGCCAGCCTTCTGGTTAGCAGTCAAGTGCTTTAGCCACTATGCTACCAGAGCTCCTAAAAAGGGGGCTAGGATCCCCAAAAGAAAAAAACAACCAACCACTGGACATCAGGGAGGGGTCTCTCCTCAGCAGCCGTGTGTGTGTGTGTGTGTGTGTGTGTGTGTGTGCGTGTGCGAGGTAGATGAGCAGATGATGCGCCCAGGAGTTTATAACTTGGGGAGTACCATGTGGGTCTCTTTGGTACTGTCACCAAGTCCTTTGAAAGTCTTCATGACTCACTTGTCCCCCTGTCCCACCTTAGGAGTGCTGTTTGCTCAGCCGCCAGCCCCCACGCCACCCTCGGCTCCCAGCAAAGGCAGCAGCGGGAGTCGGGGAGGAAGCAGCGGGACCAGCAGTGGCCCGGGCAGCCAGGCCGGGCCGGCGGGGTCGTCCACAGCCCCCGCGTCGTCTACCTCAAATAACTCATTGCCTTAACCGCATCACTCCCCACCCCGCCACCCCTGAGAAGCCCACCAGACTGGGCAGGGGTCAAGGTGGGCCGAGCAGGGGCCAGGATGGCGGAAGATACGGGTGGGGAGGGGAGATAGCCACAGAGGAGCCACAGCTGACGCCAAAAACGCAGAGAAATATATATATACATATATATATATATATATAAAGAAAATTTAATAAAACAGGGGAGAACCAAGGAACACTTGAATTTCTCAGGTTTTGGACATTCAGAGAGATGAATTGTTTGAACAGCGAAGGAAATTGGAAGAGAGAGGCAAAGCAATTCTTCCCTAGGGTTTTCCTGCAACCCTGGTGGACTGAGACTCTGGTGTCTGGTTTGGACCAGTTGCAATGTAAGGCCAATCCTGTTTACCTCATACATCCCTGCACTGTATGTTTTCATTTTTTTTGTCTTTTTGTTTTATTTTATTCATCACACACTCATCATGCCCAGCTCCTTGTGTTGAATGAAAACCCCTGAGCCAAGATCAGCTGATTTTTTTTTCCTTGTTGCTTTTGGAAACTTTTTTTTTTTTTTAAAGAAATAACAACATTCAAACTATATAGGATTTTTAAGAGGTTTTGGGGTTTTGTTTTGTACATATTCTATTTTATTCATCAGAGGGGGGGAATCAAACCTTAGAGAAAGGAGATATATCTATATATTTGTGTTCATTCAGGGAAACTGGACTTGGGAAAAAAAAAACTTTGAAAAAACAACAATGAAAAGCCCAGTGTAATAACCTTTGTATTTTTCCCATGAGTGATGGGGGTTCCTTTCTGTGCGTCCTGGGAGGCAGCAGGCAGCTGGCCAGCCCAGGACACTGGCCCTCTGGGGCCGGAGCCGCCAGAGCTGACGGAACTCAGGTGCCGTGGCCCAGGCCCGCGTCCGTGCTGGGGTCCACGGAGGGCTGGGGCAGCATCGGTGCTAACTGACCCAGCGCAAAGGCCCCGATGCTTTCCTTTTGCCACGCTCTGCTCTGCACGTGACCTCACATGTCAGGAACCTGGAAGTCTTAACTAGATAGTGGAATGTGCTTGCTAGATTGGGAAGCGGGGCTGGGCGGGAGGGCGGGGCCTATGTGCCCCTTCCCCAGGCCCATCTCAGGGATGTGGGGCCTGGGCAGGCTCCTTGTTGGCTGTGTCTGAATTCTCTCTCTGGAAAGGGCTGTGTCCTAGGACTATCAGTACTGTGGGTGGGGACAAAGCCAGGCCCAACTCGGGGAGGATTTGAGGGGCGCATCACCCTGGGCCCCTCCAGGAGTTATCTCTTCTCTGTCCTTTGTTTCCTCAGTCCTTTGGGCACAGGGCCACCAGTGCCCCACAGTTCTGCTGTGACAGGCTGTAGAGGCTGAGAAGGCAGCTTGGGCCTCCTGCTCCCACCCGTCCACTCCTGTGTCCAACCACCTCCTAGGTTAGAAGATGATGGGCATCAGGGCACGCAGCCAGACCGGGGACTTATTCCAAATACTGGCGATCGTCTGTGGCAGCAAAAATGCGTCCCCTAAAGCCCTCACTTGAACTCTCTACCCGCCCTCGTCCCTAGAGACCTGTGTGGTTGTGGGGGACCACTCTGTCTTACACAGTCCCACTGCTCACACAAGGGGTTTCCATTGCTCTGAAGGGAGGGTTAACTCTGCGGTTCCCAGGACAATTCTGGAATCTCTGCCAGCCTCTGCCCGTAATTGGGCCCAGGGAGCAGAGCGTAACGAGGCCAGGGTGGGCCTGGGGGTGGAGGAGGTGGGGCCTCCCCAGTTTCCCGGTCCCAGGCATCAATTCTGTTGCCTTGGAGACATTCTCTGGGGAGGTGAGCCCGGAGGCTGCGTTCACTCTCCTGATGGGCTCTGCTGTGTCTTAGAGGAGAGAGCCTCGCTCTCAGGGTCCCCGACGCCCCTGCCCTTCCGGGAGGCCGGCACCCAGGGCGCTCCTCTCAGTCTTCCTTCCGGTCTTCCCTTCCTTGTCTCTCGGACAGGAGCTGTACAGCACAGTCATTGAGGGAAGGGGGCCATTTGTGTCCCCAAAAGATCTCGCCCCACTCTGACAACCAGCTGGGCCCTGTCCACTGTGTGGCCCTCCCAGCCTGGATGCCCACGCGTCACCCCCATCTCCTCTCTCTCCTGCCCCCGCCTTTGCCAGCTGCCTTCTGGGGTGTCTTAGCTTCTGTCCCACGTGGGGGCCAGTCCCCTAGCTCGGGGAAATGTCTGCTTCTCTACCTCAGGACTGCCTTGCAAGGCCAAATCCACACCACCGGGCCTTGGCTTTCCTCTCTAGCCCAGAGCTCGCCCAAGGTACTG